ATTTATTTATTTACAATCGGAAATAGTAAATGTTAGATTACATAAAGTAGAATTATAAAATAAAACTAAGAAATGATTATCTAAAACATTTTTCGACCCCTACGGGACCTATTTGAGTTTGGGCACTAATACGAACTGGAAAACTACGCTACAGCCCATATTTAAAAAAATAAAATGAATAAAAAAAATGCACTGGGACCAGGAATATGACTAATAAAAAGGGGGATGGAAAAAAAGCGGAAGCTAAAAAAAAACCAAAAACACCGAGAAAAAAGAAAAAAGAAATTGAAACGAACAAAAAAAAAAAAACACCATCCTACCGATCCTCCTAAATCACCTAAAACACCAATTAAACAACTTTCATGGGTCTTACAAAAGAAATAAGCGCCACTGATTTCGCCTAAAAAAAAAATGTTATGACTGTAATACAGTTAAAGCCACTTATTCTATGCTATTTAGGATTTGATTATTCACGACCTCAAACCAAAAGGTTCAGGAGTTTTAAGAGTAAAGAACGCGTGTCATTAGTCTTTTGTTGAGTATTGGGTTTGTTGCGCGAACGAGTCAAGGAACTGAGCGATTTGCCCAAATTCTTCCCTTTACTTTGTTGTGAATAAGGTTTTTTGTCCTTATTGGACTTTGGAGGAATTTTTTGTTTGGTGGGAGGAGTTGAAATGGTCGGCTTCCAATGATGGCTAAATTCCATACATCTAAGTAGGTGTTCGTGCGTCTCAAAGTAAGCAATCAACTGTTGTTTCCCATGCACCTTTAAATGAATAAAAGCGTGACCCTTCAATTCATGACTCAATATATGTTCGAAGGATTGTTCATTGTGATAACTGAATGCTAACGGATTAGACTTCCAGTCATCCGGAAGAGAAAATTTTACTTGAAAACGTTCCCGAGCCTTACGTTCTCTTAATTTCCAATGTCCAGGGTACCAGCGGACAAGACCACCACCCAATTTTTGTTGCCACGTTCTCATAATGAAGTCCGTGTCTACAGTTGGTTTGAGTATCATTTTAGTCCAAACGGACTGATACTTGTGTTGTATCTTAAAGGATATTTCCAATACTTGGCCCCATAATTTTAGATGTTCCAGGATTGCATCATGTGACCAGGCTGCAGGTATGTCGTAAATCATTATAGTACGCACTTGACCTTTTTGCGTATTATGTATTACGTTGTTGTTGATAGTCATTTTAGTGATCTTGCCTTTTGTAATTTGTGATTCTGAAGGTGTTACATTTTTCAGAATCTGAGAACCAATCGGCTTTGATATAGATGTAGATTGTTGATCAACCTTGGATGAACCTTCCTGATTTAGTTGGGACGCGGTTATATCCAGATCTACATTGTCATCTATGTTCATGGATTCGTCGATCACAAGATTGGCGTCTGCGTCATCTGATACAGGCGCTTTTTGTTTGCTGACCTTCTTCTCCTTTTTTAACTGCGCCTCAACAGCGTTTTGAACGAGCGAAGGAAAAGCATTTTGGTAACGTGAGCTTAAACTATCCAGCATTTGTCGAGCTTTGCAGTGGGCTCCTGAGATTATCGCTTGATTTAATGTTCTCGTAAACTGTTTAGTAACTCTTACATTATCCAGTATAGACCGTGCCGTTACTATATCACCTTTTGGAATGATATTTTCTGTAGCCTTATAATAATCAGACTCTACTCCACCATTAATTCTTATTATAGATCTTATACATCAATATACATCAATAATCTTTAATAATACAATTGTAGACAATAAATAATATAATATAAAAATAATATAAACAATAATGTAATATAATTATTCTATCGCTACATATGTAAAATTAATAATAAAAATAATAATAAAATTGATAAAATAAAGAATATTATCTATATGGCTAATTTAATGTACACTAATGTACACAACCTGCGGTCATAAATCATTATGTAATAATAGAAATCGACATGAACACCAATTATATTGGATCGTCATATAAACATCGGATAACGTCGAACATCGGATGTGCATTTTATCACGTAACACAATAGTATTTAATATAAAAATGTCTGACAAGATTAATTATAGATTGCTGATCATTTTGTATCACTAAGTGGTGAATCGGCAATTAATGTATTTTATACATTCATTTTGTAAGAAAATGCAATTACTTCCTTTTATTTAAATCACATGAACGGCAAATTTTATCATTACATAATGTATTTTTAAAGGAATTTCTCAAAGCAGATCAGTGCATCGGAAAAATTATGGCCCGAAAATATATTTTTTTATTGAAACTTCTACTTTTGGTTATTAGTATTCCTTTTAGTAACTCATTCATGAAAGTTTTCGTATAAAAAACATTTGTCTAGAAAAATAATAATTTTTTTAGTAAAATAAATTTCTAAAATAAAAACAAATGGAAACCAAATTTAGTAAATCCAATATCTCAGTTACTGATATAGTAAACACTGAAAATTGTTCATATTGCAATAAACCCTTTACTGAAGAATTGAGGTGTAAAGAATGTATTGATTCTTTAGAAAAATCAGCAGAAAATGGTTTAACTAATACAATGAATAATTTAGCCATATGTTATGAAGATGTAGAAAGAACAGAAAAGAATTTAGAAAAAANCGACGGTGGGGCAATTAAACACGAAACTATTAAAGATATAACCAACTACACCTAAAAACCATTTCTTTAATTAACCCACTACCTCCTATACACTAGCTGAAACTTGGTAAGTTGAAGCCCGCCCTGCAGAAGAAAGTAAAATTGACCCTATAAAATTATATAAATCAAACTACTAAAATTTATGATGGCGCTACGAAGTAAGATTAGTATAAAATTCTATTATATTTTTACCAAAATAAATGTAATTCCTAACACTATCTAAAGAATCATAATGAATAATATTATTATTACTACTATTATTACTAGGTAATGAATGAACGCTTTTGAATTCTAATTTTTTCTTTCTAGTTAAGCCCATAGAACGTTCAAATTTCTTCAAATGCGAACACCTTGGAATCCAAACTTCTTCAAATATTTCATTAAAAATAAACTGCCTCAATTGAATTAAAACATCAACAACGTTTTTCTTTGTAGTCCAAGAACTCAACAAATCTGAAAGTGACATAGGTATAATTCCTTTAATAAGATCGATAAAAGTAAACACGTTAGGATCATAAGATATATCCCATATATCAAGTGCCATAAGAGCATTGAAATCTTGTATATTATCATTATATTCTAATATCCAAGTCAAGAGATGATTAATAATTTTATCTCTAATACTTTTAATGGTATCATAATGACCACTACACATCCATACGTGATTAAAGGTTTCGTCATGCAATCCACATATAGGGCACATCCAACCATCATATAAATCAAGTAATGATTTCTTCATCTGTTCAATTGTAGGAATTTTTTCAATTAATAAATGAACTTTTTGAGCTTTTGTTTTTGAAGAAAAAACAGAAGTTTCATTATTATTTATATCACAATTTAAACAATTAAATGTGGATGTCCAATCAACTTCTAACGTGCGATATTTAGAATTTCTGTTCAGATTAAAAAATTTTTCTAATCCTTTATAGTTTCATATATTTTTCAAAAATGAACGCAGCTTATTTTCAATAATAATCCCATTCCAACAAGGAATAACTTTCATCATACAGGCATCCCATCGAAAACTATATAGCGATCTTGATCAGTATGCGCAATTTTCGCCAAATTATTTACATAATTATTACCCATATCATCACCATGAGCAACAACCTTAAACATTTCTACATGCAAATTCAATGTTAATATGATTCTACATAAAATAGCCCATAAGAAATTATTATTAGCCTTAAAGTATTCACGTGATGTTTGAGAAAATCTTGATTTCTTTAATTTTTCAAATTGAGTAATCACGTTAAGCGAATCAGTGTTAATTCTAACTTTACTATTTTTTGGAACGACGCTTAATGCTAAAAGAACAGCTAATAATTTTCCTCTATACGCTGAAGGCCATTTATCAATAGTAGAATAAAATTCGACATGAGGTATATCAAACAAATCACTGATCTGAGCGAAAGCACAACTAATACTACATTGTTCAGTACCTAATTATATTAATGATCCGTCAGTATAAAATAAGGTTGCTTGTCTAAACCTCTTCAAAATCCTACGATTAGTTTCGGCAAAATTTTAATATAGATTTATTATAGTTTCGGCAGAGTTTCGGCAGTTTCGGCATTTATAATAAGTTTCGGCAGTTTCGCCTTTTTCCAAAGTTTCACCAGTTTCTTTAATATAGTTTCAGCAGAATTTCACTTTTCGGCGAAATGCCATCTTGCCTAAACCTTTAGGTTTCGGCAAGCAACCTTAGTATAAAATTCAAAAATATAATAATTATTACTATCAAAAGGAGCTAATGTTCGTTGTATAGTTAATAAGTCGTTTCTTGAAGTAGAAAAATCTAACAATTCCAAAATTATATTATCTTGTAATTGTGGAGAAATCACGTGATTTTGCGTTAACGCTCTTTGTAAATTATCATATTTTTTTTTTGCAAAATCAAAAATGTCAAAAATATTAAATTCTATTAAGTTTGTAATTTGACTATGCGCAAATTGAGAATCTGTTAACAATGGTACTAAACATTTCCAGTCAGCAGAAAAAGTGCAAGGTGATCGTGATGATAATTAAGCATTAGCAGCACATCCATATTCCATACATTGATATATATAACACTGGTCGAAATAGTCCAAATCGGCTAGAAATCGGATGTCCGATTTTAGGCCGAATTTGGTGATAAAGATGGCCGATTTATTAATTTAGGCAAAGTTCCGATTGGCAGGCAGATCAAAGCAAATCAGAATATCCAAATTGTATCTGAATTGCTTAGTATTTTTGATCCGAATTGTTTAAAAAAATATATTCATAAATTTACCGAATTGCAGTGAATTTATTCTGAATTATGATAAATTTTGATAAATTGCGATAAATTTTAATCTGAATTNAAGGAACAGAAAAGAATTTAGAAAAAGCCTTTTATTGGTATCAAAAAGCAGCAGAAAATGGTTTTACTGATTCAATGCATGATTTAGCCATATGTTATGAAAATGGATTAGGAACAGAAAAGAATTTAGAAAAATCCTTTTATTGGTATCAAAAAGCAGCAGAAAATGGTATCACTGATGCAATGAATAATTTAGCCATATATTATGAAAATGGAGAAGGAACAGAAAAGAATTTAGAAAAAGCCTTTTATTGGAGTCAAAAAGCAACAGAAAGTAACAAAATAGATTTTAAAAATGAGGCTGAATTATGTAATATATGTAACCAGCCATATACTAATTACCAGTGGTGTCAACAATGTAATGCCAAACAATTTCAACATGATTTTTCAAAGTGGACCAGTAAAAATGAATTTATTGATAAATTTATCCAAGATTCACAACTAAATGCCAAAAATAGTTATGAAATTTTAGAATGGATACCTTATAGTAAATTGTCAAATATTAATTATTATGATAAAGGAGGATTTAGTGAAATTCATAAAGCTATCTGGTTAGATGGACCTATTTTTAGTTGGAATTTTGACAAACAACAATGGAATAGGCAATTAAGCTATGAGGTTATTCTTAAAACACTTAATAATTCATCAAATTTAAATAGTAAATTTCTGGATGAGGTATATATATTATTTATATTTATTAGCAAATTTTTTTTCTTTTACAAAAATTAATTTTGTTTTATTATTTATACAGTGGAAATATCATTATAATTGTCAGAAAAAATCATTTTCAAAGTTCATTCAATTTTTTGGATTTACCCAAGATCCAAATAATTTAAATTATATAATAGTAATGAGTTATGCAAAAAAAGGAAGTTTAAGAAAATGTTTATCTAATATAATTAAATTTAAATGGCAAGAAAAGTTACAATTATTGAAAAAAATTGTATTAGGACTTAAAGTAATTCATGAATCAAATTTAACTCATGGTGATTTTCATGATGGTAATATTTTAATATCAGATAATTACAATGAGTTATTTATTATTGATTTAGGATTATGTAAACCTATAAATTTACAAGATTCTGATGATAAAGAAATTTATGGAGTTTTACCTTATATGGCACCTGAAACATTAAGAAAAAAACCATATACACCAGCAAGTGATATTTATAGTTTTTCAATGATAATGTGGGAATTTACATCAGGTATTCCTCCATTTAATCATGTTGCACATGATCTTCCCCTTATTTTGAGTGTCTGTGAAGGGAAACGCCCTGAAATTGGCGAAAATACTCCAAAATGTTATATAGATTTAATGAAAAAATGTTGGGATTCAGATTCTTCCAAAAGACCAACCATAACAATGCTTGAAAATATTATATCTGAATGGATTAGATGTATTAGTGAATATTTTGAATTAAACAGGGATGGAAATTATAAATACGAAGTACCTAATATTGATAATAAATTAAAAGATGATATGTTGGAATTTATAAAAGCAAACAAAAATTTAGTACAAGAACAAGCAAATGCTTCTATTATACAATCTCATACACAAGCATATTATACAAGTCGCAGGCTTACTGAAATCTTAATTCAAGAAGATTCTGAATGTTTGGAATGTATAATTAAAATTTAGTAATTCTTTTATTTATTCTTTATTTGTTGGACTATTTGTCAGTTATTGTATTTCAATTTTTACTATTGAGAAACTATAAAATAAGAGATCTTAGTATTGTTTTTTTTTAAAAAAAAGGAATTATTATAATAGAAACCAGGCTCATAAGCTAACTTGCCAGTTTCTCCCTAATGTCTACCTTATTTTTTTCTTTTGATTTTTATCGCTAGTTAATCTAAATAAAGGATCTTATTTTCTGCTACTTTTTATTTTTGACCTAACACTGTAAAGTTAATTAAATAAAGTGACTGCTTCAGGAGCTTCAATAGTTCCATCCCGTTACCTAGTGTATTATACTTTACGTATAGGGATGCTTTATTCCAATTTTTAAATTTTACTTTTATAAAGAGGAGTCACATTTTAATAGATTTAACACAAATGCATTAATTTTATTGAAGATTTTACCATAAAGAAATTATAAAATTCTCGTTGCAAAAAAAAAAAAAAATTGGCAATAAACTACTAAAGAAGATCCAATAAATTTGTACATTTATAAAGTGTGATGGAATTTTGATAGTTATATAAGCCTAATTATAATTAATACATTATATAAGTAAATCCATTGTGCGGTTACATCTAAAATCTTCAATTACTCCATCATTTTTATATTTATCAATCAGTTTTTTGTATTCTTTTATATTATAAAGTGAATCGGATGTAATTATGGAAAGTGCAAGGCCTTTCCAATTTCCTAAGAATTCTTCCAATGCTTCTGAAGAGAATCTAATATGATTAAGAAATCTAATTTCTCTTAACTTAGTCGGAGCTGATTTAATTAATGTATTCAATACTTGTTTTCCTAAAATCATTTCATTAGTTTCTAATGTATATATAATTAATAATAATGATTTCAAATTTTGACATACTTTTAGTAATTTTTCAAATTCACTAAAATTCTGCTCTGATGGTGAAAATATAAGAGATAAATATTCAATTAAAGGACAATTTTCGTGTATTTTACGAATAAGAATGAGAGTATTATATTTGAAGTTTTCGCAAGGAATTCGAATTCTAACATTAATATAAGAAATGAAATCTATTGAAATTTTCTTTAAATTTCTTCCGTTATTTTCAATTATAATAAAAGCTGCATTCATGTTGTAATAATCTATATTAAAAATCTCAAGATCATTATAAACACCCGATTTTAATTGTTCTACATTAAATTCTTTACAATGAATTGTCAATGTTTTCAGTTTATGAAATTTTGGAAGTACCTTTTGTAACGTGAAATCATGATTCTCAAAGTATATTCTTAAATGATTGATACTATCTGCCTTTTTTTCTAATGCAAGAATAATTTCTTTATAAGAATCCATTATAAAAAAATTAAAGCAATAATAATGATCAATAAATTCAAAATGCTTTAAATTCTTCTGAACTTCAATTAATTTAGCAATTCCAAACTTAACAGTATCACTATAATTAATAATAATGAGTCTCTGTATATGTTGAGAAATATCTGCTAAGCTATAAAAGTAGGATTGATCTGTTGATGATTCACATTCTAATTCACTGAGCGATTCAAAACGAAGTCTTGCTTCTGGAAAACTAAATATTCTAATTTTAATTTGTTTCATATCCAAATACTTGAATTTTGGGCATTTCTTAATAATGTGTTCATAAAATTCTTCTTGCAAAGAAATTCGATGATAATAACTATAAATTTTAATAGTAAATATACTTTCTATAATTTTAACATTAATACTTCTACAAAAAGATAAATAATCAAACAAAAATGATTGGTATGAAACTAACTGTAATCGGAATCCTTGTCTCGTTAAGATTTTTTTAGTTTCATCAGATAAATAAGAAGCAATAATTATAAATAAATAATCTTTATTTCTATAATCAATATCATAACACCAAGGATTCCTCCATAAAATTGGAATCACAGTTTCACACCAAAGTCTATTAACCATTAGACATGAAAAAAGGGATTCCGAATCATCTTGTAATTCTTCAAATATTAAGAAAAGAATATCTTTATTGAGTTTTGACATACTTTATTGAATAGGGTATGATTGGTGTGATGGCAAATGTGAAATGTGAAAATGACATGTCATTTTGTTCATTTAAATATGCCAAGACTCAAATAAATGGGATTACAGTCATTAGTCTGGAACGACATAATGACATGTGACAATTGTGACATGTCATTGTCAACATTGTGTGGCAATCTTACCTATTTTTTAAACTGGCCTTAAAAATTGCAATAAAATGAAAATTTTAAGGATTAAAAATCATTATCCTTTAAAGTGTTGAATTTATTAAAAATATGGTTATTATTTCATTGAAAGTAAATGGTTGTCAGTTTGTTAATATCGTAAAATATTTTTTTTTTTTGAGATGAGCAAAAAACACTTATATTTCATTATTTACTAATCAATGTTTAGTGTCATTTCACATAAATGTACTAGACATTCAATGGTTACAACACGTTTATCAATAGACATTTTCTGACATAAAATTAACAGACTTCATTTTATAAACTTCCTTATCGCACGGCCATGTACATTAATAGTTTATTTGCGTACAATATTGAATATCAATAGTTTATTCTGCATTAGTCTATGTTGGTTAACGTCACTTCGTTAACCAATATAAATACAACACCGTACAATATCAATAAAATATTTTACCTACATGAAAAATTGTCAACTTTATTTTTATTGTTTCACCAAAATTATTCTTTTTTTATAAATTTTGTTAGATTTAAACTTTCTAAATAAATATCTTTTTTTTTTAACAATAATTAATTTTCCTAAATTTTTCAGAAGTTATCCTCTAATTCATATCCACTTGATCCAGTAGATTTTTTAACGTGATTGATCTGTTAGTGGCTGATGTGATTGGTTTATTAACACGCTGCGCTATTAATATTTTTGTAAATAAAAAAGGAGTTATTTTTGGAAAAAAGGGATGAGGTACAAAGTTAAGAACCACTTTCACATAGCTCATGATTGGCGATTAAATTGGCTAATTTTTTTGGGAAAAATGCTTTCAGAAAAACAGGATTGCAGGAGTGATGAAAAGCCTTTGATATATCAAGAAAATGATTACAGTAACTAAAGTCACAAAATTCTTATCCTCCCCTCAGGAATAGTTGTTAACAAGAAAAAATTCGGCCTAGCTCGATATACAATATATTAGATGTAGCAGACGTCTCATTTAACAACACTGCTTATAACAAAGTGCTAAATTTTGAGATATGGGATCCGTCCAAAATCCAGAAGGCCGACGGTACAATATCCCGACATTCTAAATCTCGGCACTCAAAATCCTGGCAAAATTTTAATCTCAAAATGTCATAATCCCAAAATATCATAATCTCGAAACTTTATAATCCCATAACAGATAATGCCGATTTTTCTTTCTTTTTATTAATGAATTTCAAGATTTTTCATTTCGGTATTTTGAATTTCGAGCTTATGAAATGCCGAGATTATAACATTTCGGTATTTTGATTTTTGGATTTTGAGTGTCGGAATATTGTACCTTCGGAATTCTGAGCTTCGGGATTTTGTATATATACCTATATATAATCAAACCCATCAATTAAGTACGGTGTGCCGATAGTGTGCCGATATGTTTAGATATCACATAAATGCATGCATTCTGGTTCAAGTAAATAAACTAGATTTTGCAGACTGAAAACAAAACAAACTAACCGATTCACCTCAATTAAATGATTCTAGATTAATTATTCCATTATTTTTTTTAAGCCTTAAAATATGAATATTCTGTGAACTAACCATAGTTCTTCAATATACTGTGTATAGTACAAATATATTGTTAATAGAATGCAAGTTCTTCATAAATATACAGCCGCAGCATCATGTGAATCAGTATGCATATCACATTATGTAAGCGATAAAACCACTAGGATATATTCGGTAAATTACAAGGATTTTTGGCGAATCAAATATTTGGCGTAATATTTGTTTGTTGTGAAACGTTACTTGGTCATTAAATGATCCGGAATTTTATTCCGGCGGTGTTTTATTTGGAATTTGGTTTTAGTTTTTAAAATATTACGAAAAATTAGAAA